CGGGACCCACTTCCGAAACAACCTCATAAATACCTGGGCAGAAGAACACGGCATCGAGTGGGTCTACCATATCCCCTACCACACACCAGCCTCTGGGAAGATCGAGCGCTACAATGGACTGTTAGAAACCACGTTGAAAGCACTGGGAGGTGGCACCTTCAAAGACTGGGACACACATCTAGCAAAGGCCACCTGGCTCGTCAACACAAGAGGATCTGCCAGTCGAGCTGGCCCGGCTCAGTCAAAACCTCCACGTGCTGTAGATGGGGATAAAGTCCCTGTGGTGCGCATGAGGAATATATTGGGAAAAATGGTCTGGTTTAGTCCTGCGCCAGGCAAAGGTAAAGGCAAACCCATCCACGGGATTGCTTTTGCCCAAGGACCTGGGTGCACCTGGTGGGTGATGCAGGACAATGGGGAGGTCCGATGCGTACCACAGGGGGACTTGATTCTGGGTGAGAACACGCCGTGAATTGTGCTGTGCCTGTGTAGATTGTTATTGTTAACTGCTAAATGGCAGCTGGACATGACGTAGATGGTATAGGATAAAGGGGTGGATTGTGTCCTGGTTCAGCCAGGATAGAGTAAAGTTTTCCCCAGCAGAGAGAGAGGGGGAAGGGATCTCCAGCCGGGTTATTCATACCATGCTGACGTCAGGTCCAGGGGCGGAGCCTTTTCACCTTTCTCTTCTGGTGTTGGTTTTTGCCATACACGCGGCGGGTTTGCTCCTTGATCATTTAGTGGTATTTCTCTGTATATCTTTTGTCTTGTTCACTGTTATTGCTGTTTATTGTTGTTACCATTGATACTGATGTTATTCAGATTGTTCTATCACTCTGTTGTATTAAATTTCTTGTTATTTTAGCCGGGGTTTGTGTCTAACTTCCAGCCCAACCAGCGCGGGTGGGGGAGGGGCAACGGCAACGTGCTCTCTCATCCCGACAAGAATTAAACCTTGCACACCTCGTTAGCATATTGAGGGGTGTCAACTTTAATATGCATTTCGTGGATAATGAAGCAAAGTTCATTCACCGGACACATGGCCCTTGAAATTTGCCCAGGTGCCCCAGAGAAGAGCAGTCCTGTCTGCACAGGGCTCTCTCCCCCAGCTACATCAGGCAGCCTTATCAGCTTCGGCCTCCACAGCATGCACCCTGTGACTCATGGTTTTGTCTTGTGAGTGTTTGAGGCATTTCTTCAATCAGCCTCAATTGCTTTCCCAGGCTGTTTGCCTTAGTTTCTCACAGGCCTGGGTTCTCGGCTCTCACACACCTGGAAGTGAGTCTGCCATGGTGCCAGGATGCTCACCCTTCCCCAGTGACCCCTTCAGAGGCATTATTGGAGCAGCATTCATCAGTCTGGTGGGGAGGGGTCAGCTCCTGCTGCAGCCCTCGCTGCTGCTGGGCAGAGAGTGGCCGTGAGCCTCTCGGCCTCCTTCTTCCTTTGGGGACAGGATTCACCTTTGGTCTTTGACAGGAACATCCTGACCTCACCTGTTTGTTCCTCTGCCCTAACTCTCGACTAGGAATCTGCAGGAAACTTGCCCAGCTCTCAGGTCACCTGCCACCTTACAATCTGACTCAGGGCATTGTGTCTGCCTGATACCAAACCCAGACCTCAGGTTGGAGCGCAGAGCTGAATGCTGGGCGGTTGGAAGCTTACTGTGGGGAGCCTATCCAGAAGACCATGGTACGATCCACGAGCCAATGATCCACAAAGCAGTTAACCTGAGAAGCTGCAGCCCTGACCATGGCTATGCTGTGTGCAGAGTGTTTCCTTCCAACCTGGGTTGTGCCATACATATCCCTCGCTGAGAAAATGAACTCGTCTGACTGTAACAAGGGAGTATGCAGGCAGCTCCTGCTCGGCACTGCTGAATACAGCATCTGCATGACTTCATTGTAAAGCAGAGCAGCAGGTCTTCCTGTGAACATCCTCTTGTCTGAGGATGTTTTATTGACAGAAACGATGAGAAAATTCTGTGCGAGCTCTAAATACTGAGAAATAAGTGGAACCTCTCTACAGAGGGGATCTGCAAGCTATGCTGTGTCGTGATGGA